GAGAGAGAGAGAGAGAGAGAGAGGGAGGGAGAGGGGGGCGGGGGAGAGAGAGAGAAGGAATATAAATCTGTAACAGTACTGTCTACATTCTGACAGTAGTACTAAGAGGATAAAAGAAATTATATATTTTTCATGAAGTTCTTTACTTCAGACATGACTCCTGGAAAGATCTACGAAGTTGAGTCTCATTACTATCTTTTTAGATAAATCATGAATGTTGTAAAATGCTTAGCTTTTCAAATACATGAATATTAAATGTAAACTTTCAGAACATTAAATGTAAGGCAAAATACCATTAATAATTTGAGTAAACAGATAACCAAAGTTTAAAATAATTGGGAAATTCTAGAAAGCTAAATAATTATAAATAATAATGGTAATTTCAAAAACTCACAGAGAGTGAAATTATTTGGAAAGAAAAGTATGAATGCTGAGTTTTGTCATAACAGACATTTTTACCTGTCAAACTAGGTGCATGTTCTATGGTCTAAGATGCATGCAAGGATCTGTGATCTGAGGTAAAGCTACAAGAAAGAAGGGCAGTCTACCTTCTCAGCATTAACCTCAGACTGGTTATCATTCTCTCTGAATTTTCATTTTGTCATAACTTTGAGCTCACACCTCAAGTAGAAATGTGGGTAAAATGTACAAAGTGAGAGCCTGTTCAGTGTCAAATGTGGGAGCCTAATACCACACCATGCTTCCATAGGGACTAATTTAAAAGAAACAGAAACCACCTGCAACTGCATTAGACTGTCATAGGCATAAATTGTGGTTTTGAGTTGCTATCTAATAACTTGTGCTAAGAAAGTGATGAAGAACTTGGTAAGTATTCAATATAGAGAGTTTTAGAAAATAAAATAAGAAATAGGATGAAAACAAGTATTGTTTAATATGGAGTTATATATTTTATTGATCCAAAATGATTTCATGATTATGCTTTTAATGAAGTAATCATTGTTCAATAGTATGCTTGTTCACAACTCATGATTCTAGAATCCTGAATTAAAATCACTCTGTATCATGTATAAAGAAACTAGTCAAGAATAGTGTCTTTGTGTAAAACGGACATGAAGTGTGCTGCACACTACAATCTTATATATTAGAATTGAAACAATTAATTTAATAAAGTCCTTGGATATGGGCATAATAGAACTCTTGGAAGCTAAAAAAATCCTTTAAGTTCAAAAATTGCTATCATGCTATTTATGGAATTCCCAAACTATCTTTATTTTTCACAGGTCTTCCTGAAACCAAATTCCAACTTCGAGCCTCACCTTCAGCTATTTGCCTACCATCATTCAAGAGAAACATGATTTTTCACAGATTCAGATGTTTTTCTTCTCCCTTTACATTTTATATTGAGGCCACAGTTAATTTTTTTTTGCTTTTTTGATTCATGCACAATAAAGTCAATGAAATGCAGCTAATATCTGTTTAAACATTGTGTGTGTGTGTGTGTGTGTGTGTGTGTGTGTGTGTGTGTGTGTGTGTGTGTGTGT